AACAGAGTGAAGAAAAAACATTCTTTTATTTCATTCAATTTCTTAACACCATGATGAAGAAAAAAAATGGACTTCTTTAACTGTGCAGCATAATAGTCAGGAATATCAGTAAAAAACTTCCAAATATAAAATATGACGGAAGCTTTCTATTAACTATTTAAGAAACCTAAAACTCAAAATACAGACTATACTAGGTATACTGCATACACACTTGTTTGGATTCTTGATCAGAACATGGTACATGATATCTTCAAAGGATTCCTGAGATGATAGTTGCCACAACTGCCAAAGAATGTAGACACATGTAGCAATGCTGAGGAAAATGAGAAGGGAAGAAGAGTTAATCAATTCTAAAATAAACGTAATAAAAATTAAATGAAGATTCAGTCTACGGTTATATTACCAATCAAAAAGCAATGCCACTTCTTATTGAAATAAAGTAGCCCATAATAGAAACAAATTCGGTCTTAGTAACAAGTAAGAATTAAAGATTCATCAAAGTTATTCAAGAATCAGCATAAAAAATGTTCACCACCAATACATATTCAGTTTTAGTTGAAATTTTCCACCTTGAACAGTTTTTTTTTTTTTACTAAAGTCGTTACTAATATAAAATAACTATTACACCTTTTCTGACAAACCTGATCACAGTTTCTAGATTTGTGTATGCACAATAAAACAGATAAACACATGTGCACAAAGAAAACAGTAACTGTAATTAGAATCTGTGAATAAAGTTGAAAAGGAAATTCAAGAACATTAAATAAGTAAAAATATTTTAACTAATTAAATGCATAAAGAATTCTAAACTTTAGATAATGGCATTAGAAAACATAGGAGATTTCTCCCATTCGTTAATGGAAATAAATAAAAATAAGATTATCAAGATGTTATCAACCCCAACAAGAAATAACATTAAATTCAGAAGAATTCACTAATATTATTCAACTAACATATCCTATGGTTAAACAAGGTTTACACAGGAAGGTGAGCTTGATAAGGATACAAGTAATTACCTGCCAAAACATACAAGAAACGCTATCCAAATGGTTGCAGTAATCCAATTTGATTCCTTATAGGAAACCCATGCCTGATAAATTAGGGGGAGAAAGAACAAGCATACAAGACTTTAGGAGAAAATTTACTTTGAACACGTATGTAAGATTAATTCTACTGTCTATAGATGATTCTGAAGTAGATGGCTAGATGCTTATCCTTTGAGCTTGTTAAATGACGAGCATAAACGGGTGGTATAAAAATTATAATTTTGAACCAACAATCTTATATGAGTATTCTCTGCATAAAAAGTACATCAAAATCTCAAAAAATGAGCAAAAACCTAAGATAGGTTCTTAAATTAGAGTGATGAAATTTATAAAGCATAATGAACTGACGAGAGAGATGGTCAAGATTATGGCGGAGAGAGAAGGAACGAGAGAGATTGAAAAAAATTGGTGGAGTTTGATTCCTAAAAAGAATGATTAAGAAAACAGTAAGAGAAATGAAAGAGAAAGGCTACTGTGGAAGGACAGTAAGAAAAGATTAAGGGTAAACCCTCCCTTTCAAGAGAAGTGTTAATTTCGTCATCAAGTTCAAAAAGCGACACTTTAGTCCCGAAATAGTTCTAAATAATCCTTGAGTCAATTTTACTGTTAATTTGACTAACAGAGAAATGACGTGGCATTTGAGGTGCTTTTAGATGAGGTGGCAATTTTTATTAATTTTATATTGATTTAGATTTAGTTAGCTTTATTATTATTTTTTTCCATTACAAAAATAATAATAACTAAATCTAAATTAATATAAAATTATTAAAAATTACCACCTTTAAAAATTAACATCTCAGATGCCACGTCATTTTTTAAAATTGAAGTACTCAGAGAGCATTTAGAATAATTTCTCAAACCTCAGGAACTAAAGTGTCCCTTTTTGAATTCTATGGACCAAATTGACACTTAGTTCAAAACTCAGGGATTAAGAGTGTATCTTAACCAAAAATTAATGATCAATTTCAAAACAATAATTTGGCAGCAAGCGAACTTGTAGACTTCATATCAACATAACATGAAGTGACACCAGCAGGACCTTTTCCTAGCACTACAGCAGCTCTATTCACGACATAAATGGGTTAAGCTATAGAAATAACTAAATGTATGCAAAGTCAAAATTTCGTAAAATGGAAACTTTACGAATGAAAGCTTAAACTTTCCATACCGCAATAGCCACGACATTGATGTAAAAATCAATCAAGGTTGACACCATTAACCTGAAACATATATCTAGAAACTTAGATGAACAAGTTCAGACTTGTAGAAATAATAAAAGAGAAAAAAGATAATAATGACTCGACACCACATTGTAATGACAGTAAAAGAAAGAACACCAAATTACACAACTTTCCCCAGTAATTAATTGCTTACAATGAGAATGTTATAGCAATTAGTTAAACAATGACTAATTACTTTCAGTCTTCTTAAAATAAACTACATGATCAGAGCTTGGCTTTATAATTTTTAAGTTGAAAAACGTGCGGTTTGAGCAAGTCTTAGAGACAATATATGTTCCAGTCAAAGGAAAAAAAAAATTTATATAAGAATTTTTTATATATAATTTTCCGTTTTAATTATTTAACTTTTATTGTTGTAGTGTAGTACTACTTACAAATATTTTATCTTGATCCCTAGATTTTATATAGAAAAATTGACTTTAAATAAATATCTTAGTCACAACACAAGGATGGAGTCAATTTGAGAATTATAGTTATAGGCCAAATTTATGTTAAATGCAATATGAAAATTCAACACAGATATCAATATATTGTTAACAAAATCCAAATATCCACAAAATGTTTTGGTTTCCCGGAGCAATATTTTTCCAGAAAGTAGAAAACAATGTTAAAAGGTGAAATACAACACAGTTTTCAAACATACGCCTAAAGAGGCCTTAGTTATCCAAACAAGCCTCTTTTCCTTACTCGAAAAATTATACAATTAGCTCATCAAACTCATAATATAATTACGTTTCTAAACTTTCAATTGTGATTTTATGAAGTTCTTGTGACACTATCAACTAAATGATGACATAATGGTATGTTATGTGTCACCATGTAATATAAGGTCGTGTAAAACCAACCTAAATTTGTCCACTAGCAACGTCATATCATCATTAACGATATCAGCTTCATAACATCACAATTCAAACTTTTTGAAGTTTATCATTAAATATTCGCGACCATCGGAATTGAGTTACAAAATATATAATTTAAATTTAGATAAAATTATGTGTTTCTTAGGGCAGTTGCCGAAAATTCCCAAAACCGCCATGCCTGTGGATTCTGGCACTTTTAACTCGCTTTATAGTCAAGGCAGTTCTTCAAACACTATATTATTTTGATCGCATAAAGAAAAAGCTACTCATAGTCATACTCATGACACAGAAATATACATAAGATGATCAGTAGGTACATGAACAGAGTAAATGAAGCAGCTCGATTCTGTACATTGAGAGGGAGGAGGGAGGCAGCAAGACGAGGAAGGAGACGGAATTATAAGGAAGAAAATAGATGAAAACGTCTAGTGTAGAAGAGAAAGTACCGTGACAGAAGTTCCCTGCGGAAAGGAGAGCCATCAATGGCGATTGTGTATGCAAGAGTTGCAACCATTGTACAGCCCAACACAGCGAACAGAATCCTCCACCCAGTTACTGCCGAGCTCGCCATTGCAGACGCGGTGCTGCTCTGAGAGAGGGAGACAGGGAGCCAACTGAAGCAACCCGGAGGGATTGAAGACGTCGGAAGTTAATGGAGAAGACGGGGAAAATTGATGGGACTGGACCACGTACCAATAATTGCTAATCACGCGGTGCTTTTTTTCTAAACATATCACGTGGTGCTGCACGGTAGAATTAAATATTTATTTAAAATAAATTCTTAGTCCATAAATTTCAACGTGGATTTCTATTTAGTCCTAAAGTTTCAAACAATGACACTTTGATCTCTAATCTTTGAAAAATGGTTCTAAAATGTCTTTGGAATTAACATTCCGACACTAACAGAATGCTGACGTGGCAATGATGAATTAGGAGAAGGAGGACTTCGACTCCCAACTCTTTATTGATCAGGGAGTTCGCTGCTCTTTGAATGTCAACAACCCGTTGATTTCATATATATTGTTTTTAATTATGGGTCAATTTTTTTTTTCCATTTTTTCTTTCTTTTTCTCTCACTTCCCCACTTACGAAAATGAAAAAAAAATTGATACATAATTAAAAATAATATTAAATTAATATATATCAAACTCATTAGTGTCACGTCTGTTAATCTTAATTTCAAGAATCTTTTAGAACAATTTTTCAAAGTTTAGAGATCAAAGTGTCATTTTTTAAATTTATTGACCCAATAGAAACCTATCTTCAAACTCATAAATTAACGACCACCTTTAATTTTGTTCAAGAAAAAATTGACATTTAATAAATTTAATTATATATCATATGTAAACAAAATTAAAATTATTTCTAAAAAATTTTTAAAGTTATATTAAATTTTAAATTTTGTAACATTTTTTTAATGAAATAATCACTAAGATATGATCGCAGTGCATAAATAAACTACTGGTCATAACTAACTTATCACGTGATAGCAACCATGACAAATACAAACATTAAAATTAAAATAAATTATTAATATAATTAAAATGTAGTTTTATACTCTACCTTATAGTCAAATAAAATAAATCAATTAATTCTCAAAACTTTAGTGTTTCTTTGCTAATCAAATCTTTTTACCTTCGTAGGCATTTTGGGGTAAAATAAGTACACACACCATAACTACTTGTTTTTCTTACCTGTTATATAGAGGTTTGTAATCGTATCTATTTGAGAAATGACGTATATCAAATGGCACCTCCCGAGTCAACTTATCTCTATAAAGATATATATATATATGTATATATGTCTGTCGTGTTATACATAAATAGTTATCAATCCTAATTATGAATGAAAACACTACTTTTTTCAACAGATATCTCGACCTAACAATTGCATCCCATGAAAGATATAACGATAAAATAATTATTTATTAAACGATTGACGGAAAAATTGAAAAGTAACTGATCTTCTCTATAGCTCATTTATATATTGAGATTTATTAGTCACCGTCTATAAATAATATATATAATTATATTAAATCTCAACTACATGTTGGCTTAATTGTATTATATTTACCTACTTTTTCACGTCATTTATTGTTACGTCGTGTCAAATTACAAACCTCAATTTAATTAGAGACGTTGAATATTCAATTTTCTATATTTACTTAATCGTGTTGCCCAAGCAATTTTTTAGTAGTCTACCCTAGCATTTAGAAAACAATGTCAACTTATCGAAATTAATTATAATATTGCCAACATGAATTTAACTCAACAATAATTAATACATGTATTCGAATCCCCGCCCCGCTTATCGTACCAGACAGAAAAAAAACCTAATTCAAATACCCACAAGAAAAAATATTAATCAAAATCACAACAAACTTCTAAAAAAAATTAAAATCATAACAAATAAAAAAAATATATAAGATTATGTTGGTCAAATTTGTTTTCTGAAAATTGTTATAGGATTTTGTAAGCAGTGAAAATTATGAAAATAATATTTTTATATACTTTTTGCCGTTTTCATAAATTGAATTTAAAATTTTAAAATGGGTATAAAAACTTGGATAAATATACTAGTTCACCTTATAAACTTCGTGATTTAAAAAAAATAATAATAAAAGTCAATATTGATGTTAAAAAATCACACCATAGGGATCATTTAGAATTTTTTTTTAATTTAAACTTCCAAAATTGATCTTTAAACTTTTACATTAAAGTCTATTTTAATCTCTAATTTTTTTTTAAATAACCATTTTTTTAAGTGTTGATTTCATCTAATTAAAATTTAAACTTAGAATAAGTAGTCAAATTAAATCAATACCCTCCTAAGCTTGAGAGAAACAAAATCAAATAACCACGACTTAAAAAATGAACATCCACTTAAATAAAACTAATTACACATCTACAACTACCCATGAATTTGGGAAAAAAAATTAAGTAAAAATATGTATTGATTTCACCAGTTAACTAACAAAGTCAAATAATGGGTAAAAACGATTAAATAAAAGGTGCTTAAAACGTAACTAGATTGACGTATGGGCGAAGAGATAAATTTTTTCTAGAACTTTCTACTTTCTACTTGATCCCAAGCCAAGATTCTATTGAAAAAGAAACATAAATAACAGTATCTTAAATGATATCTTCATAACAAATTTTCATATCAAAATTGGAAATGAAAGAAAAATAATAGTAAATTAAAGTAGATGATGAGCTGCTTATCTAAGAAGGAAGGAATCCGCCATTAAAAATGGATCCTTCGACGATAGGATGTATGGCGGCAACTTTAGACGTTGATAGCCGTTTGTAAGTCCGCAATTCTTCATCCTGAATCTCGAAGGAGTATCTACCTATAAATTCTTGTCTTACGACCATGCGAAGTATCTTGAAGAAGCTGGATGACGTCATCAAACTGTTTTATCAAAGATGGAGCAGAAAGATGCTTGAAGCTAATGTAGAATATATATTTATTTTGCTTTTGTAAAGTTTTTTCAAAGATAAGATTTCTCGTTGATCACGCTTGTGAGCCAGTCTTATAAGTATACTCATAAGTCTCGACCCTTAAGGTTAGAACAAATGGCTATCCACGCCTAAGATTACCACCGTACATCCTACCGTCAAAACATCCATCGGAGTAACTCTAGACTTTTCTTAACAATTGCGAATCTTCGTGATAAACACTGCAAAATTTGCGATCTTGATTAGTTGTTAATGTTAAACCTTGTTAATGATAAAGTTTATGTTGGCATTAATGTAATCTCAAGAATATTGATAACAAGTGGATTTATGCTCAAGTAAAGTTTATTTTATTTTTATTTTTCCTTTTAATGCGAGTACAAATATCTGGGGTGGTCATTGGGACTAGTATAACAGTAAAAGAGCTATGTAAGGAATTAATAGCTACTTCATTTTACCCCTTTTTTTAATTTTAATTAAAATGACAATGAATTTATTACCCACCATATGTTAATGTTTTAAAGACTGAAGAACTATATTTTATACCATATAATGCTAAAAAAATAAATGGTGAGGCAAGGTTTTTTTATTTTATTTTTTATTTCTGAGGGTTTGAACCTAGATCTTGAGTGTCAACACCCGAGCCTCTTGTCACTGTGCCAACACCCGAAGATTATTTACTTGACATTTGACATTTGCTTATGTTCATTCTAATAAAATAAAATCTAGCAACATTAATACAAATAATATACCTCCATTTGTTGTTCTTAAACAAATAATAATAAAATAAAATCTAGCAACATTAATCCAAATAATATACAACTCAAATTAATGAAATCTATCACTGAGCTAATTAAGACCATGGGTCAAACATATTCCTTATATATGTTCACCAAGACGATGAAAATATTTCAAACCTGTAAGCTAAACTGCTTTTCCCCATATGTCAAAGAACAAAACGAGGCAGCGAACTTATGAGAGCAACAATCCGGACGTTTACAGTAATGGACCAAAAATGTTTCATGGTCCATTGTTTCTGGCAATAACAGTATCAAATCTACTACTTCCCAAGTTCTAAATCAAGAAACAACAATCAATATATTACTTGAATTCCATTTCCTATTGGATTTCAGAAAACTGAGGAAGAACTGGAGAAGTGGATCTTACCAACCGAACTTTTTCAGCAAGTCCCTTGTTCTCTTCCTTGAGCGTGTAAAAACGATAACTACACAGGCAAGAATCCAAGGAGGGAAGTTCCCACTTATATTTAATTTCTTCATCAATCCTTGCGACTCTCGAGAGAGAAAAGTTATCAAAATCGTTAAAATCGCCACGCCAAAAATAATCCTGGTTATTGGTTTGATCAGGGAATCCTACAGTAGATGATAAAATATGAAGTTAGCTATTTGCTTGAATCTGATGCAAAACAATAAATATGGACAGCATCAAACAAAATCAGTGCATATCTACATCAAAATGGCCACCCATTTGCCAATTGACAAACATAATCTCAACGTGATAACTGGACACCTTTGTCGTCAAAAATAGAAATAGCTGTTTTATAGAGAACCATCTCCAAAGGAAGGATAGAACAACTATTAATCAATTCCTTCCTCTGATTTCTGATAGGTAAGTTTGATTCTTCATCAAGCAATTTGTAGTTTCGAGAAGGAAGGATTTACATTCGTGTCCTCATTTTCTAAAATGGACGGATGGCAGCGAGAAACAAAGATCGTAGACAAAGCAGAGGATCCCTCCAAATAGGCAAAGAACAAAAATAAGAATTATCTTGAATGCACATAAATCAAGCATAAAGGAACACAAAATAGGACTTAGATGAAATAGCCTAAATGGAAGTGTAAAAAATATCACATCCCTGACTTCATTCTACAAATCCCTCTACACTCACAAAAACCTGCTTGTTCCATTCTAGCCAAAAGAATCAAATGATAGCAAAAGAAAATTAGATACTCCTTTGACTCAATCTTTTTTATTGTCAAAAGTTACTATGCTACACAGTTGTCACATGAGATTAATACGGTGAATATTAGATACTATACTAAGAGTGTGTTTGGTATTGACTTTTAGAACAGTGAAATGTTCAGACTCTTTAAAACAAAAAACTGTGAAATGTGTTTTAAACTAATTAAGAGCACTTTTCACAATAAAATTTACTGTAATGTTTGTCTTGATGACTAAAACTAAGTACTTCCAAAATATCTAAAAACATTATTTTAAGTTCTAGACGAAGCAACTAAAAAGTAATCCACTAAGAAGCCATTCCAAACTCACTCGTGGATCCAAGAGAAGCGTTAAACTGAACTACATCACAAATCTTTTCCAAAAACCTAGGATACTCTTAAAAAGTCCTCTTATATATCAAGACACAAATATTCCAGAGAACAGCAAATGTAAGACAATTTCCTCCATCATACCATGACAACTCTAAGAGGGAGCCAACATCGCCAAAAATGTTTCGAAACATTTCTCCACAGACGAGCGGTAAACATGCTCCTCTAAGCATGATAGCCCAAGCACAAAAGAAGTAAACCTTTTAAGAACATTGGCAGTCTGGAGCCTTCCAAGGATAATTGGCCAAGAAAATAACTTCACCTTCTTTTAGATGTTAACCTTCCAAACCTTGGTGAGAAAAAGGAGAAAAGGGGGAGGAACAAACAAGAAAGGTTCGATCATTTCCAAGTCAGATAAGGCTTTTCTAAACTGGAAATTGTGAAACGAGGACCCTCCAAACAAGTAGCTGAAGGACTAAACAGACCAGGATGGACTAGAGCTGAATTAGTATGGTGATCATCCCAAACTCAAGTCTGCTTATCATCCAATTCCAAACATGAAACTTAATAAAGTTTAAAAAAACGAGGGAAACATTGAGAAATAGCTTTCCAAGGGATCCCAAAGAGAAACAACCTTGTGCAGGAACCAAGACGGTATCGGGCACCAAGGCATACTGTAAGAAGAGCCCACATTCTTGAGGGCTAAAAGCCTAAATTACCAAATCTTAAGCTGCCCTTACAGTTACAGTTCATTTCAGGTCTGCTGATAGTAAAATCCCAGGTGAAATATAGGCTTAGAGAACAAACATCAAAACTAATGCACCCATTTCATCAATACCAACTTTCAAGAAAACAATCTGCAGAACTAATGCACCCATATAATCAATAACAACTTTCAAGAAAACATGTTATATTGTATCTTATGATTATTATCCATAACTCATGACTCCAGCACCGAACAGATGGGATATTAAAACCACGAAAAAATCTATTAGTCGGGATATTAATGGCTTTTTCTTCCCTCTTGACTTTGGTCTACCAGTTTCTATTATGAGTTACTATGACCCACGCAGTAGACAGAGTAAAGATGGATCAAATTTGCAATTCGAAATGAATAGAACAGTGAACCTTTACCTTGGGCTCTCCGTCGATGTAAATCTCCGCTCCATCTCTGTACGTCAGTATAGACCTGCCATTTCTAGGGTTGAATCGGATCGGGACGCCACGGCCGGCCTCAGGTTTAAAGGCGAATGCCGACTTGAACCCGTATTTGTCGAGAATCTCTCGGATCTCGAGCTGGTCTTGATCCCAACCCCCAAGGCTCGATTTAAACACATCGATCGGACCTTTGCCTTGCCGATAAAGATGGATTTCAACCTCCGGAACCTTCGTCTTCACGTTTTTTGAGTCTGAACTCGGATTCTGGCTCTGAAGAAGAGGTTGCTGCTCGGAGTTCGATCCTGTCTCTTCAATTTCTCGAATTTCGCTCTCGTTCTGTGGATTCTCCATTTTCGCGCCCCGTGTTGACGTACGGTTGTGAATTGAGGATTTTATTTGTAACCGGAAATTGTTTGGGAAATTGGGTGCTACAAAGTACAAGAAACGAATATGTCGAAACTGGTTTTTCTTTTTAAGGAAAATGTCGAAAATGATTTAAATATGAATATTTGTCAAAATGTCACTACATATTTAAAAAATTTATCAATCTCGACTTAAAAATTACACCTTAAATAAGCTCCACGTCATCTCCCATAAAAAATAATTTAAATTCCAAGTCTTGTTGTATTAAAAAAATCTGATTTGAAAACTAAATTAAAATACTTTTAAGATTGAGACAAATACTAATTTTATTTTACATATTTTGCTAAAGTATCGAATCTATTAATTTGAAAAGTTTTAATTGATTAATAGATAAATTAATCAAATTAAACCTTCAATGAAAAGATAAGAAAAGATAAAACATAATTAACACGCGAAATTTGTTTATTATTAGTGTTAGGGTAGGACGAATGCACCTAAAACTTGCCTAAACTTGGACACATGGCTAAGAAGGAATGAGCCAACACTAAATAGAAGCTCAACTCCACAATGTGATAATGTTCGGTAGCATATGTATTAATTGCAATTGGTAGACATTGATGTATGAGTAATGGTTATCTAATCTCACTAAACTCGACTCAACACCAGCTCACAATAAGTATTAAATTAAGCTTCGTATGTGATCAGGATACGGTAATGTACGAGATTACCTACTCGTCCATCTTGACTCCTGATGCATTACATTGATCATATTCATAATTGTGTTCATTTATGTTTTACCTTAGTCTATAAATATAATGTATTTTTTCTCGTACCATACCAGAATAGCATGCAATATCATATATACATATACTAACATAAATAATTATTATTTGTATTGTAAGATTATGGAACAAAACAAGGCACCACAAGTACACGAATAACGGGAGAATACAGGATTGAACATAATATAAAATTGAAAATTGAAAATAGAAAATACAAATTTACTTAGAAATTCAACATGAACTTTCAAAAAAAAAAAGTCAACGTCTTAAATGAATCATGAACTGCCACTATTTATAAGTAATATATACAACGTGACGTGTTACATTTTGATACTAATAATAGATAGAAAAGAAACACATGAGACATTTGAAAATTAAGCACTTGGAGATTGACCAATTTGAAACTCGGGGACACTAACCAAATGGAAAAGTTGGACACATAAAGGAAAGGCTATTGAGACATCTTTCTTTTTAATGGCATCTAGTTTTTACAATGTTTATAATATTTTTAAATTGATTGAAAGAAAAAAAAAAAAGAGAGATGGTATAGTGGGCCGTGGGATACAAAAAGCCCAGAAGTCGATCTGGATGGATTCGTAACGTGGGCTTCCGAACAGAATTGGGCCTTTAGCTTAAGCCCACGACAGATAGCGTACAAAGTCCGATAACTCGTACATGAATACTTGCTCTATAAATACGTTCCCGCCTTCTGAAATGGCTCCAAGAAGTAGGAACTTCACATTTATCTGTTTCTTCGTCGATTTTCTTATCGTTTTCAACAGCTGAATCTCAGTTTTCAGAGAAGTTTCTTTGTTAGGGTTTTTCTAGGGTTTCTGTGTGCAACCAGTTGTGTGACGTGATCTTCCCATTGCAGTAGCACTGTGTTTCTTTTGCCTTGCAAGAAGGGCTACAGTACGTGTTGTTTCTCTGCTTCTCGTGGATTTTCTCTTGCCTCGCGATGAATTCCGAATTTCGTCTGAACTTTGGGGCCGTTTTACGTATTTTGCCTCGCAATAATTCTTTTGCAGGGGCCTTCTGAACTCTGGGGCTGCATTTCTTGACTTACAAGGATTAATGGACGGTGCGGAACGTTCTCTCGACCGCAGAGAAGCTGCCGGAGCAATCGAGGCGTTGTCAGGAGCTATGGAGTCTCAAATTTCGGATGAAAACCTAATCGCTAATCTGAAATCCCAGATTCGTCTTCTCCAAGACAGAGTTAAGGTTTGACTTTATTTCCTGCTACTCCTATTGCAACATTCGTTTTCTAAAGAGAAAACTGGCGAAGTATCGACAGAGCCATGGCTGACGTTTGATCCCAATCGAAACAGGAATTAGAAGATGAAAATTCGAAACTATCCACTCGGCTTTCAAGTTGTTGCTGTTCTGAGGTTTGGTCGACTAATTCTTTAATAACTAATAGTAATTTTTTTTCCCTTTCCTGACATGTCCATTCATCAATGTAGAATGGCGTAACAAGTGTTTTACGTGATATGCATATATTAGAATTGAAATAAGAGCTCTTTAGCTGTCATCCTACACTAGTTTTGATGGTAGACATTCCGTTAGGGACTAAACATGAATTCGTGCAGAGGAAGATAAAATTTGAGGACGGCAATAGCTTGATCGAGAAAAGCAAGGAATATGAAAGTCCGAGAGACAAGACTATTAAGAAGAAAGCAGTAGAAAAAACAGGTCAGTCGTTACTTTATGAACGAATAGTCTATTTGCTCATCATATTGATAAAAATCCTATTAATTTTGTGTAAAAGAGGATACCGAAACAGGGTACTCTGGTGAATAGGTGTAGCTCACTTATATAAGAGTGGGCGGAGAGATGCCGAAGGGAGGACAAAGTAAAATAAAATTATGAAAAAAAAAAGGAGTTCTAGAAAATATTACCAAACATGTTTTCTGTTAGTTTATTTAAAAAAAAAATCAAAACAAGTTCCAGACACTTCCGAACCAATTATTCAAAGAAAATTCTTAACTTTTTCTTGCTCTTTTGGTCACGTTATTATCTACAGAAACTCCATTAAAAAGTCAACTTTTAGGTCCTGCCGCATTGTGATAAGATCCAAAAGGCAACTGTGAGACTGAGGATAGAGGTGGATACACAAAGGTCCGACACTTTCTCACTTTTTACAATCTTAAAGAATTAAAGTGATTTAGAACAACTCACAAAAAAGTTATCAAAACTAAATCTCATATACAATATTTATTTGTTTTAGTATCACTTGGATAAGACATTAACTAACTAGATTAATAATGGTGAGCAAGTACCTTTTTTCTCAGTTATTTGAGCAGCGTAGGTGCCATTTTCTCACCTACCCTAGGGGGTAGGTTTAGCTCACGTAAATATGAATGGAGGAGAATGTAGTGATGGGATCGTGAAATAAGCTGTCATATATTGTAATACATAACAATGAAATATATATATGATTACTATGAAATCCAAGACTCTGAGTCTGAACTACAGTAAAATGATGTTGCTACCACTTTGAGTGAAAGGTGAAAATGGCAAGCTTCAGTCTAAAAGTGGCAAGCCCTTTTTATGAGCAAATTTGGAATGTTTATAGAGTTTAGATCAAATAATTTACGGTAGTTATCATGCATGGTAGTTATCATGCATATCATCAACGTTGTTTATTTTTTTAATTTTTTGATAAGAAACCACTCTTTCATTGAGAAAAATGAAAAGAAGAACAAGAAAGGACATAAAAAAAACAGCCCAAGAAGAGGATGCCCATTAAAGAAAATGGCTTGATTGACACCTAACTGATAATTATAAAAGGCCTTAGAGACCGAACCCCACAAAGACGTATTAAACCTTACAACGTTGTTTATCATATATCGCAAAAGTCCTCAATCTTTCTCTAGTATGTATTATTTTACTGGAATGCTTTGCCTGTTTCTACTCTCAAATTTAGTTTTTTTTCTCTTTTAATGAAGGATATGATGCAAGGACCATGGATCACTATTCAAAGAGATACATTGCTCTAAAAGTCATGTATTTCGGCCAGAGGTATGTAATCTAACCATAATGGACAACACCAGTGCCTTTTACTTTCCCTGTATTAATTTTTCCGTACATCAAAGTCCTTCAATATCTGCTCCCATAGTCGAAAGAGAAATCTTGTAAAAAGATGAATCCATGCAAATAGTATTTAAAATTATTTTCTTTTTGCTGCACTATGAAAATCTCTACATTGTCCCAGATAGTGACTGAAATCCTGGTTACTTCATCTGTATAGGTTCTACGGTTTTGCTTCAGAGGCCCAAATGGAACCAACAGTTGAGGTGCAGTTTCACATTAAGCTCCAACATCTTATTTTATGATTTATCAATTATGATGTTAGTAGTGGGAATATTTGTCAAGAATGCTCAATATTGGTTGTCAATGTTCACTGGGAGTGCCTAAACATTTAATAATGCCTTTTAGAGGATCTATTCTTAGTTCAATTCTTTTGCCTTTATTTCTAATTGTTGATCACACCATCTGCTAGGATGCGCATCATGCAAATGCCAATAGTTAATATAAGGCTTTCTTTTTTGACAAATATCTTTCCATCCCTGGTTGCCTAGGAATACCATTAAGATTATTTTGATGGTTTGTTTAATCACGGATTTGGATTTTACTAAAGAATGCTAGCACATTCAACAGTCCATCTTGATTCTTCTGACCAATGTATTAGTTTGAGCCATAAATTTCTTGAATTTCTAAGCATGAATTATGAGGTAACCAGACTCTAAGTTTGCAAGAGGCTTGGAACTCTCCCAACTAGAGCTTCACTCCAGTAATAGTAATATAGTCCATAATCCATTCAAGAACGAAGCAAATGCTCTATAAGAAGCTTTATTTGGAACACCAGGATAGATAAGAACCATCATATTTTTGTTGGCGTAGATAATATCTCATTTACTTTCTAGATCAAGCCATTTTTGCAGCCGTCACTAGATCATGTCTCTTTTTGATATATATATATGTGTGTGTGTGTGTGAAGTGTGGAGGGCCTTTCTAACCTCTTTGAGACTTCCTCCCCTCCTCACAAGTCAAAATACATTACATAAATTAAATTCTGTGTGTGTGTATCTTTTTTTTTTTTTGAGGAAAAAAGAATTGAGGGAACCAGGGAATATATGACCTCATGCTTAAGGCAATGGACCATGTGGGTGTAAACATTTAGCACCAAGTTGTTTTAAGGGAGGGGTAAGGCCGTAAGGGGAAGGTAGATTTGGTGGATGTGAGGAATGTTGGGTGAAAATAAATTTTAATTGTTATGTCATCTTCCTGCAGTCTGAAATTTTCAGAGCTCTTGAGAAGGCTAGGCTTCTTGTTGGTGGTAGGAAGGAGTCTTGTTATTCAAGATGTGGGAGAACAGACAGGGGGGTCTCATCTGTTGGACAAGTAAGACATTTAAAATATGTAAGGAATAAGATTGTACATCTAGATAGCATTATATAATAACTGTAATGTTGCCGATGCTTATTTTCAGAATACTTTGAGTTTCTTGTCATGAATTAATTCACCTTTGGTTATTCTACTAGCTGTTCAAAATGATATTTCCTGCCAGCTCTTCCATGTCCTTGGGGGTTTTGTTGAGGCATGAAAGTTTTTATCTAATACAATCTCTTTTATGAAGTTGACTAGGAAAATATTGTAATATTCTATATGTCTCCCTCATTTATATCCACATACACGCATGCACACGTGAATCCGGCTCAAAAAGCTTAATTTTTTTAATATGAAAACCAAAGAGATGAAGATGGATAACGCAATTCTTTCAATTATTTGTTTTTTTACCATACTTCTAATATTATAATCAAGGCTACAGTTTTCATGACGAAATTTGGTTTTTAAATTAATTTCCAAGTACAAAAGCTTTTCTGGTTCCGTAAGTCATTAGTCACCTAGGAGGTAGGAACAGAAGTTTAATTAGGCGACTGTTGACATTTCATTCATTATTTAAATTCAATTTTCTCATTTCATAGCAATCATACTCTGATGCAGGTAATCGCTCTTTATTTACGGTCAAAGCTTAAGCACAACTCCAGTGTTGAAAATAATAATCATAATGCAGAAGAGCAACACGGTCAGTAGTTGATGTTGCCAAAGTTGTTCCCTATTATTAATAACTTGTGAATACTTGAGACATTATAATCAGCTGAACGATGACGTCGAGCACGTCAGACAATTTGCTTTCTCTTTTACATGGCTGTATTCTGAAATTTTTAAGATCTAATTGGAATAGTGCATATTTATTATTTCCATTCAATTATCTTAATTTCACTTCCATTCATATTTACTCTCAGATGAAGAAATTGATTATGTGAGAGTAATGAATAGAGTCTTGCCTAATGACATTCGGGTTTTGGGCTGGTGTGCTGTACCAGTTGGCTTCAGTGCAAGGTTCGTCTTCCATTTATAATGCCCTTTTCAAGTGTTATACCCGATAATCATATCAGTACTTCATGATGCTCCACACACACATACACTTAATGCATGGCCAATGCCTCTTTAAATAACTTATTGTGTTTTTTCGTTCCTTTTAAGTGTAAAACTTGTCTATTTAGCATAATATTTCAGCATAATATTAATGCTAACTCTGGCATTTTTTGTTGCCTCTTTGTGCAGCACAGATTTAGTTGTTTAAGGAGAAAGTATAAATATTTATTTTGGGGAGCAAATTTGAATATCTCGGTATGAAACTACTATGCACTAAGCTTATAATCTTTTTGCACAAGTAATTTGGATGGTGCTTGTGAAAATTTTGATATGTGTTTTTCACCAGGCTATGGAGAGGGCTGGTAAGAAATTTGTAGGGGAACATGACTTTAGAAATTTCTGCAAAATGGATGCAGCAAATGTTCACAATTACAGGCGACGTATCTTGTCATTTGACATCTCTCCTTGTGATATGAGGTTGGCTTTGGTACCAGTTCTTCTTAATCTCTTTTTCAATTGAACTTTTTATGCCATGCTTAATTAAAAATGCCTTCGGTGTCACTGGAAACTGGAACAATTTGTATTCTCAAGGTTGCTTTGCGTGTTTGCTTCTCGGGCCATCTGAATTAACTATCTTGTAGCTATTGATCAAGCTTATGTTACTTTTTTCCGTCCCTTGGAGAAAGAGCTCAAGAAGGCGCTAAGGCTCCGAGACCATCCCAAGACCAAGATTAAAGATGAGCTCTTGTGAGAGAAAATTTCCTCGAGACGAAGGCTTAGGACCACCCTAAGACAAAAAGCTAAGGATGAGCACTCGCGAAAGGAGTTCTCCTCAGCACAAATGCCTGGGAAACACCTCAACACCAAGATAAAAAATGAATGCTTGCGAAAGGAGCTCACCTTGGCTCAAAAGCTTAGAAACCACCCCAAGACCAAGATTAAAGGATGGGCCCATGCGAAAAAAGCTCTCCTTGGCACAAAGGCTTAGGGACTACTCTAAGACCAAGTCTAAAGGATGGGCCATCGCGAAAACAACTCACCTCGGTGCAAAGTCTTAGGGCCAAGACTAAAGGATGAGCCCTCGCAAAATTAGCTCTCCTTGGCATACAGACTAGGGGACCACCCCAAGCCCAAGCCTAAAAAATGAGCACCCGTGAAAGTAGATTTTCTTGGCACAAAGGCTTGGGGACCACCCCAAGACCAAACCTAAAGGATAAAATCTGCGAAAGGATCTCATTTTTGTGGAAACTCTTGGGGACCACACCGTGATCAAGACTAATGGATGAACGCTTGCGAAAAGAGCTCCCACTATCACCAGGGCTTGGACATCACCGTAGGACCATCCCTAAAGGAGATGAGCCTTCGCGAAAGGAGAGCTCACCTTGGCGTAAAGGCTTGGGGACCACTGAAAGATCAAGATTGATGAGCTATTGCGAAAAAAGCTCTCTTTGACACAAAGGGGGGACTTGGGGACCTTTTAAGTCCATTCCTAAAGGATGAGTCCTTGGGATAGGAGCGCACCCCAACGCAAAGCTAGGGGACCACCTTTAAGTCCATTTCATCCTAAAGGATGACTCCTTGCAAAATGAGCTCTCTTCAGCACAATGGCTTGGGGACCACCCCAAGATCAAGCTTAAATGATGAGTCTTCAGGAAAGAAGCTCACCTTGGCCCAAAGGCTTGGGACCACCTCAAGACCAAGACTAAACGGTTACCTTTTGTGAAACAAGCTCTCATCGGCACAAAGTCTCGGAGCCCACCTAAAGAACAAACCTAAAGGATGAGCTTTCATGAAAGGAGCTCACCTTGGCCAAAGGCTCAAGGACCATCCCAAGAACCAGCATATAAGATGAGCTATCACAAAAAGAGCTCTCCTCGGCACAAAGACTTGGGGAAGGATGGGACCTCACAAAAGAAGATCACCTCGACGCAAAGGCTTGGGGTCCACCCCAAGACCAAGACTAAAGGATGACCCCTTGCGAAACAAGCTCTCTTTGGCACAGAGGCTTGGGGACCATCCTATGATCAAGTCCAAAGGGTAAGCCCTTCCTAAAGGTGAGCTCTCCTTGGCACAGAGGCAGTGGAAGTACAATTTTTCTATGAAAGGATTTTCTAATTGCCTGTTGAAAAACAGTTAAAGGACATATACTGGAACTGCAGTGGTAGAGCTACAACTCTCCTCTTATAACGGCAGAGTGCATAATCTCTTGCAATCCGATTCAGCTCGGCTTGAGACAACTTCTTTCTAACTATTCAGTACTAACTTAAGTGTCGGAATACAGTTGGCTGAGCACCACACCGGTACAAGTTTTTGTTTGTAAGTTCTGTTGAAGCCCACGTCAGAGTGACACAGGACGACTATTGGCATGTCACCTTGCCCAAAAATGTGCATCACCATATCTAAAATAAAGTTATCTCTCTCTCGCTCACATGCACGCATCTATGGAAATATTTTGTTTCTTAAAAAGAAAATGAGAAATTCGGATTCTTTTAGTTTCTTATATTGGAGATTTTTGGCACTTTGGCAGGATGGAAGGCAATAAATTATGGGTATTCAACATAGAAGGCAGTGCTTTCCTTTGGCATCAGGTCCGCTGCATGGTTGCTGTAGTCTTCATGGTTGGCCAAGGCCTTGAGGATCCTGATGTGCGTGCCAGAAGTCTTGAATTCTATTTTTTTCCCCCTTATCTGAATCCTGCTTAAATAAGTTGCTTTTAATACGTTAAAAGTACTTGCATTTGACCATGGAAATAGAAAACAAACAAATAATGGTAAATCTAGTAACCGTCAGATGTTGTTTTTAAGATTTGACACCCAAATTATTACTCTTATTTCTTGGTCTTGGTAAACCCTAAGCATGACTTCACTGCTCTTTTAAGGCATCTGTTGTTTTTCCTCAATGATTGCGGTAACAGATGAAGTGGACTAGTAAATTTTGTAGGTCATAGATATTCTACTGGATCCATCAAGAATACCAAGGAAGCCTCAATACGTTATGGCTTCAGAAAATCCTCTGGTTCTTCATTCTTGTGAATTTGAAGTTGTCAAGTTTGGGTGTTCATCAGGTACATTTATGAATATGTTTACTACTACATGAAACCTTTAACAAGTGATCATAAAGATAACCCGATTACTGCCTCATATATACTCTCTTTTTTCACCTCATTTGTCACTATATTATTGTTCTATATTTAATGGATCTTCTTGTCTACATTGTTTCTGATCGTAGATGCTGGAGAAGCTCTAGAGTCGCATTTAACGAATCAAGTCCAAGCATACGAGCTCCAAGCTGCAATTTTCAAAGAAGCTCTCTTAAGCTGTTTGCCCATCACAGACGGTTGGAATTGAAAAGTTTCCCTATTATAATTCATGAGTCTTTTCTGTTCCAATTGATTTATGATACTGATGTGGCCACTTTCTCTTCCCTCCAGATCGGAGTTCCTCGGAGAATAGAAAATCAAAGAAGAAAATTTGTCATGTTGCCCTATTGTCAAGACCAACTGAGCGTAAGTTCTGCATCCTAAGACTCAGTTGGCTAGGGATTATCTATTCGGTAATGTCATGTAGTACAATACCTTAAATAACCACTGACTACACAACTGAAGATACTGTTCTAAACCCTATTGTTCTCTTTTCTTTTAAATCTAACAACTAATTTTACTTGTGTCCAGCTTCATATGAAGAGCGGCGTGCCAAGCTTGACTCAGCCTCAAAGAGGAGTTGATCAAATACATCTCCGTAGGCATGGGTAACATAGCGCATGAATTACATACTTTTCCACATTATAATCGCTTTTCAAATTTATAAAACATTATGAGGCTTAGAAAGAGTGGTTTAAAGAAAGTACTTCAATATTTTTTTCCTAAATTTATTGTCCCTTCTCCGATAGTTCTTTGAACTTTAAAAAATATTTACCAGATTTTTAATGTTTAAAATTGTGTCTAATTAGTTCCTAATCTTTCATGACAGATCTTTAAATTTTTTAAAAGTGTGAGACTTGTTTGATACAAAATTGATTTTTGGACACCTTAAAGTTCATGGATCTGTTAGATACAATATTGTAAGTTTAGCGATTTATTAGACACAATATTGAAAGCTTTAGAGACTTATTAAATATTTTTAAAAGTTAAAAGAAGTTCAAAAACATGCACAAACTTTTGTGTAGTACTAGTGATCTAACTTATTATTTAATCTAATTTTTTTAGAAGTACGAGAAGAATTCTTAATAGTGAACTTATAACTCACCCTAGGCACGGTGGCAAAAGACTTGCGTGTTGACATCTGCAGTTCAAGTTCAAGCCCTCTTGTATCTCGAAATAAAAAACCCACCCTCACTAAAGGATTACATTAACTTATAATTTCGATCGGGTAAAAATAAAATGAGTACAACAGGGAGTAAAATTTAATAATTACTGTATCTGTAGTTTTGCAGAGTTTTGAATGCCAAACATCAAAAGAGCAGAAGGCAGTAATCATGAGCACCGGTAATGAAGGGGAGGCGACCCAGCCGATCCCTCCTGCGACCAAAAGCTGACAGCCCAACCAGTCCCTAAACATCAACTTGCACCATCATCATGAATCCAGGTGCATGAACTCAGACCAAATCATTTTTCTCACTTACCCTGCCCCCCCCTTCCTTCCAATTATTATTCATATCTTTATGGTTTTATTATATTGACAGTGACAAGTGATGGTCCTCTGCCTTATGTTTTTTAATGTTCTCAAACTAAGCTAAAGTTTAGCTTGTTTTTGTCACAAAGATTAGGTTTCTTTTCTCTGTTTCTGAAAAATGATTGGCGATGAACTACCCTGCAGTGTCATTGGGGCACTGCATTGGAGTTAGTGATAAGTTGAGGGCTTTAAGAAAATGGGTTCGAACTTCGAACCAGGGTAACTATCTAACTGACTGGGTTGGCCTAATGATTTTTTATGGTTTTATTATATTGACTGTGACAAGTGATCGTTCTGTGCCTTATGTTTTTTAATGTTCTGAACTCAGCAAAAAGTTCAACTTGTTTTTGTCACAAATATTAGGTTTTCTTTTCTTTGCTTCTGAATAATAATCTGAGATGAACTACTCAGAGTTGGCGTAGTATCATTGGGGTTAGTGATAAGCAAAGGGCTTAAAGAGAAGAGATTCAAATCAGAGTAGCGATCTAACCGGCTGAGTTGGCCAATTGGTGTCATTGAGTTAGGTGCTTGAGACAAGATTAGTTAAGGGGGCATAATAGCAAAAATATCAGATGATTGATAATTAACCAGAGCAGTTATATTGATTTACTATGGTTAAAAGTTAAATTTTTTCTTAATGCATAAAAAGTCTTGGAATTTAGTATGACAATTATAGCAATGATATCAGGTAATTGCATCACAGCTGATTGGCTTTTTTTACTTTGGGTATGCCAAAGAATAGGGTCAATGTGATTGGTCAAAAGAAAAAAAGATCTTTCAAGTTAATTATGATTTCACTTTAACCTTATTAGAAAAAAAGTTATGATTCTGTCTTAAACTTGTCAAAATCGGTACATATTGAATAATAATTATACATAATGTTCGCAATCTTCTAATCTTTTCATTTAATCATCCTTACTAAGCTGAATTGGGTTCAATGGTATACTTTTATCTTCCTTAAAAGTATCTCAATTAATTCGAATTATTTTAGGATATATTTAAGAACATTAAAGAAGATAATAGGTGTTTTATTTATTAAATTATGTTCGAATTAAATTTTTTAGGTGAAAAATAATTTTTGGTCTCTGTATTTTCGTGGAAATAACGATTTAGTAATTGAACTTTAATTTGTAATAATTCGATTGTTGTATTTTTTTTTTTTTTACAATTTGGTACTTAAATTTTAGTACGTAAGGTTTGAAATTTGTAACGATTTAGTTTCAATTGTGAAAAATGTTGTTAAATTAATGAAGTTTAATTGATAAAATGTGTTTTTAAACCACCAAACTTGAATTGTTTCTTACTATAAATAATATTTAGTTTTGATGAGATTTGAATTAAATTGTAGAGACTAAAATATTATTGTTATATATTAAAATTATAGACAATTGTTAAATTATATAAATAATACAGTGAAAAAGTATTTTCTAAGTTACTTGGAAGTTGCAACTTCATCTTTAATCTTTAATACACTAAAAAGGGAAGATTTTTCTAATTGTTTTTTTTTCTTTTCTCCTCGTAATGAGGAAGAATGAGTAGATTGAAGGCAAGAACAGCTCATAAAGAAGACAACCAGGACAAGACCTAAAGTCAAATTTCTATCATCAGTCACACACTCAATTTTCCATATCGTATGTGGGGAAACCATTAGTTTACTGTTTGCTCGTGCCCCCACTGGATTTTTTATTTGTTTATTTTTTAATAAACTCTTTTAAAAAGAATCTGGTTTTTAATATTTTTCATTTTGAAATAAATTATATTGTAGAGAGATGGGTTTGAACAGAATTATGCTTTAGATCGATGATTAATTGAACCGAAGTAAAATTGTCTATATCAGTTTATTTATTATTGAAATTGAGATATTGAATCTTTTAGAAATGTAAAAAAATTAATAAAATATTTTGTCCAAATAAGAAGACGATTTAAAACAATTAATTTTGATTCAAAGTGTGTTGAGAACAAGGTCTAAAAAGGTAACTTTTTTTTTTAAACACAAAAAGGGCGACTTAGTGTTGAAAAGTTGAACCGAAATTAGATTGACCATTTTGTTGAAAACGATTTTCATTAAGATGTTTATAAGAAATCATATATTTGAACAATTATTATAAAATTAGATTTATTTTCTACCCAACCACTTTTTAGGAATTAAAAAAAAAGACTAAATTACTTTTGAAATATAGATCAGCTTCCCAAGATTAGTGGGTTAAGGCTATTTTTTACAAAATTATATAATTAACATATTGAAAATTGTTTTTTTCCGTTACAATCATTTAGTTGAGTAAAATTATATGTATGGTGTAGTTTTTATTAATATTCATGGGGTTCCATACCATATTAATATTCATGGGGTTCCATCTCAAAATCAATTGGCAATGAGAGGAGTAGCCCATGTCTATTACAAACAAGTCCCTTCTTTTATCAATGTGGGATCCTTAACAGTTTTGGCTTATTGGACATGTCTGCGGGTGGTTTGATGTAAGGTTGATGTGAGCATAGTTGGCAACCTACAAATAGAAATACGAGGTAACGTGAAGTTGAGTTAAATTCTGTTCAAGTACACGTTGACTCTTACGCAGACGATGTGTCCAAGTTGAAGCTCGACACCCGTGCCTTTACACAAGCCACATGTTCATATTTGTTTTTAACCAAAAAAAAATGGAAAAATGACCTGGAGTTAAATTCTAGACAACTTTCTCTCTAAGAAAATGGGGACAATTGTGAATTCTATTATTGTTCAAACAATAATACAATATTACGTGAAGTCATTATTGCGACCCAAAAAGATTAACAAATTGAAAAATATATTTATCCGAAGTACAGAGAAAGATCTCGTTCCCGCGAGGGAAGCTCGGATCAAACGAGAGGCTCTCCCTTTTTTTCTCGGCAAAACCAACAAAAAGGAACGAGAGACAAAATTTTCTCTCTCTCTCATTTCGAATTCTCTTCCATTTCCCTTCGTTTTCAGTTCTCATTTGAATCTGGTTTCAGAAATTGCGTCTCGCGGTGGTGTTTGCGTTGATATTGAGACGAAAAACGAGGAAAAAAAATGGATGCAGCAATGGGATTGATGAGGAGAATGCCTCCGAAGCACTCCGAAACTGCTCTCTCCGCTCTTCTTACTCTCTTACCCCACCACTCCTCCGATCTACTGTCCCAGATTGATCAGCCTCTGCAGGTGCTGTTTCTCCTCTCTTTTCCCCTGTTAATCGGTTGTGGTTTTGAAATTTCCCTGAAATGTTGTTTGTTTTTGTTTATTGTCGGTGTCTGTGCTCCCTCGCAGAAAATTTCGTGGGATTTTAGGGTTCTAATCTGTCGATTTTTTTTTTTTTTTTGGGGTGGGGTGGGATTTGATGAAATTTCCCGCTCCATTATTGTTTGTCGGCCTTATTGTGTTCGGATTCAACCCAATTCCCATAACTATTGCCGTTATCTTGCCTGCTGGTTCTCATTAAGTGGGCTCTGCATCAAATGATGAGGATTGAGGATCAAATTCTGGAACAACGAAGGTTGTATCCGAATATTTCACTAATCTCTAAAGGCCCCTGGAAGACGATACCCTGAAACCAAACTTTTACAATAATCATAAGAGGAGAGTTTCTCACTCTCTGTGTTTTCTCAATAACATACTCTAAAACCACGGGTTTAAGGATGAATATTTTGTGGTGGCAAGGTTGGATGTGTTAGTGGTTCTTTAATTCGCTTTCAAGTTCTCTTTTACTCCATTTTTAAGGTCTTTCTTGTTTAAGTTATAGTGTATAGGTGCTGTTTTCCTTTCCCTTTTTTCCCCTCTTTGGCCCTCTCTTGGATTATCACTACCATGCTAATAACTATTGTCCAAGTCACCTTTGGTGCTAAGTTCTCTATAATAACGTGAATTGTTTTGTCTTTCATTTCAATTGACAGCCCTTCAGGTTGTTAAAATTAATTAAAGTTTCCAAGTTTTCTGAATTAGAAATCACAACATTTACAGGTTATATGTGATATGGACAATGGGAAGGAGTTCATTTTGTGTGAATACAACAGAGATGCTGATTCATATAGGTAAGTATTTGAATCAACTTTTGCAGCATCTGGACACCAGGCATGATAAATATGCATCACAATGGTTTTAGCAAGTTTCCTAAATTAATAGATATTTTAATATCTGCCTTGCCCTTAATATTAGAGGTTGTTCAGTTATGACTAGCACTTAGCATGTTTCACATACATTCCTAACATCAAGACAAATTCTTTGCATGTTTTACAATTCCATGTGTATTTGTACCTCTCTTTTAAATGGGCAAAGCCAGTGGGTGTGCAATATATAAATCCATTTTTTTTATATATATGTGCCATTGGAGAGCATACATTTCTTGGGGTTCAATGTCAAATGAATGCTACGAGTCTATGACCACTGTTTTTCCCTTCTACCACCAATTATGTAAGCTAACAAATTTTACAGCATTTAAGTATCAGAAAAACACAATCTGTTGAAAAATTCAAGAATTTCAAGTTTGGAAATATTTATACGACTGTATGATCTGTTGGGGTAGATTGAAAAAATAGGTTATTGACTGAATCTTTTTTTCTGCTTTTTTACAATATCTTGGGTCATTAATTTATATATGCACTGTATGATGCCATGTTCTTTTTCTTGCCATATAGATCACCATGGTCAAACAAATACCATCCACCATTGAAAGATGGAGCGATGCCATCTATAGAGTTGAGGAAACTTGAAATTGAAGCAAATGATGTATTCACAATCTATCGTGACCAGTGAGGTCCTTTTCTTGCTTCCTTTTTGACACCTGTGCAATAGAATATTATTACGTTCTAGATACTACCTGCAGCCAGTGTATACTTCTAAATTCAAGAGGCATTTTCTATAATTTTTTCTTATGTTTCAAAAGTAAAACCTACTCCCTTGAATTTAAGACCCAATTGCCTTGTGCGATTATGTATTTCTTACGACAGCTGCTTTAAACAAATGCTTGGTTAGGTATTATGAAGGTGGCATTTCATCTGTCTATATGTGGGAAGATGACAGTGATAGTTTTGTAGCCTGTTTCTTGATAAAGAAAGGTAAGACTAACCAGTGAAGGAGTGTGAGCATTATTAAAAGTGATGGGTTTACTCATGTGATGCTATTTTTGAGGATAAAGATGGCTCAAAGACTGGTCACGGTCGAAGGGGGTTTCTACAGGAGGGAGCATGGGATGCTATTCATGTTATTGAGGTAGTTTTTGTTATCATCGATGACAGATCATTTATTAGAATTTAGAGCCACGTGCTCTCATGTACTCTGCTAATCTCTTTCTAAATTCAGGTCCGGCTTGAAGATGAGGGAACAGCTAGTTACTGTTTAACAAGTACGGTCATGCTGTCATTGACAACTGATAACAACGCATCGGGAACTTTTAGTTTGTCTGGTTCGCTTAGAAGACAGGTACATTGGAATGAACTTTGTATTTTGACTCTGTAGATTCAAATAGTTGATGTTGCATGAATAATTACCAGGGTGGGAGCAGCATTCCAACCTCCTTATTCCTGAGAAAAATTCTACGGGGCCCAAAACTCCTCTATTTTCATCTACTCCTGTTCTCTTCATTCTAGATCATGTGTTTGACTGTTTGAGTGAGTGTTTTAGGCACTACATAACATCCATTTTAAAAGATATAAATGTGACTACCTTCAAGAATTCCCTTCCTTACTGGAAGTAAAAGTTAAGCCTGTAGTGAAACCATTACACAGTTTTCTTCCAGTTGTATTTTTTGATAGTTTACCTTCTGCCCCCATAATGAGTCAACAACAAAGATGCCTGTAAATAGGACTCCTCTGTTAAAAGTTCTGCCATGCTCTACCATGTTAGTTTGATGGTTTTCCTTTTTCATCCATGCGTGTATGTGTTAGTCTGTAATACTAGTTCCCTTACTTCCATGATAGATGAAGATGAAGCTCTCAGTTGCAGAAGGTCATCTTTGTAACATGGGACGAATGATCGAAGAAATGGAAAGCAAGCTGAGGAATTCACTAGATCAGGTAATTGTCTCCCCTAAGATATGTTTGATGAAGAAGCAGTTTCTAAAAACTAGTTTTTATTTTTTAATTTGGCTTAAAACATGTCTTTAAGAAAGCTGAAAAACATACTAGAGAAATCGTGAGGAAGTCATCCTAACCACTTCTAGAAACAGAAAACTAGAAACAAAATCATTATCAAACAGAACCTTGATATTTCATTTCTCTCTTGCCTTGTTATCTCTTGATTGTTGATCCTCATGCCATTATTATACTATGTGATGTTCTCAACAGGTGTATTTTGGAAAAACAAAAGAGATGGTTTGCACCTTGCGACCACACTCTGAAGTGGTGCATATGAGACCCGCCAAGTGAGGGCTGCTGCTGATACTGCATCATAGCGGCTCGATAGTTTGTAAGTCTGTTTTTTTTAATGCAGCTGTAACAGTGTGATTTTATTTTGATTGTCCTTTCAAATCTTAATTCATGTTAAAAAAATACTGTTTAATTGTGTGTGTACTGATTGGTTGTATTGTAGGCTTGGTAGTTTAGTTGTCATGTTGCATATTTGGGACCCAATTCTAAATTGAAGGTTGCATTTAGTTAGTTATTGTTTAATTATAAAAAAAATTAAACTAAAAAGGAGAGAATTTTGCATCTCTAATTAATTACAATGTCAACTGATTTTCATTATTAATGCTACAAAATACCACATCTTTTGATCTGGCTTCTATGTATCAGATGAAATATAGTAACGAGACCCTCTAATTTATTAAATACAATGTAGCAATCAAAATAAAGATCTAATAGGAACCTTCCAAGTTGTGTTCATCTAAAAAATGGATGGCAAGATATGGTGAAAGGCAATTTGAGGAAATTTCTTGTCTACAGTAGTACCAAAAACTTTCCATGCTACAATTTGCTGTTTGATACCATCGCTACATGTTAAGAATGGCGTGGGATTCAACCTCAAGGGACAACCTAGTTGACAAGAACTTGAGAACTTGAGATCTCTTGATCATATTGGTTTAGAAGTCTCAAGTTCGAACCTTCTAGTGACTTTAATACCAAAAGTCCTTGATGTCTCTCGAGGTCGGACCTTGGAGTGGACGCGGATGCCCCTGAGTATTAGAGTGCAAAGCTCCAACTCTCAATTATCAGAATGGTGGAATTGGGACGGGATTCGTAAGATAAAATAATATATCACTTAAAGATGTGTCAAGATATTGATGAAAATAGTAGATACTGCTATAAGATTATAAATTAAAATTTCCCTTCGAGTATACAAATAGATGAAATTATAGAGCACAATGCCTATGGTACGAAATAGAAGCAACAATTTTTAAACTGAACGTGGAGAAGATATCAACACCCTCAAAGTAAAGAATCCTACAACTAAACGCAAAGAAAATATGAAAACTCCCCCTCTAGACCTCAGAATTCCAAAATTCAAATACACACACAACTCACTACACCCACACTTGCCACTAAAACGTAGGAGAAAACAAAAAAAACAAAACCCAAAACTTAGCATTTTTTCACGCGGAGAAGCTAGCATCAACTGGCTGCAGGGCATGAGCTGCACAAGGTTAAGCTTTAGCATCAGGTTCGCTGCTTGTAGAGCCAGGCTCAATGGTTTCTGCAAGAGGTGCTTGGTCTTTCTGTTCTCCCTCTTTATCGTCTTCTACAGCGATAAAAACACGATTTCAGTGCACACACAAATGCGTTAGAAATATTCAGATATATGATTTGAAACTCGTCAAACTAACCATCATCCTCTCCCAAGTCATCAGCATCCATGCCTCCACCAGCACCCATACCAAGTTTCTAGAGATCAAAGATGATCACAACATTATTTTTATAGAAATAAGAAACTGTGGTAGATTTCATTATCGCCTGTTACAAAAGGGGATGGAACCCCTAAAAGAAAGCACTCCAATTGGCAAAAATATTCACAAAGCTTAAGTTAAATATGATTAGAAATTTATATGACATTTGAGATGATCTTATATATAACACAAAAAATAAATAAATAAATAAACTTACTGAAAAGTCCAAGTCACTGAAGTCCATATCATTTCCAGCTGCGAATTAGATTAACAGGGTAAGAAAGCCTCTTCAATCAAAACTTGCCAACAGATAATGGGAAAAAGAAATTAAAAAAAGGAAAAAAAAAAGAGACTATTAGAGAAGGCTGCCAAAAGATACAAACTCACGCTTGTTTCCTTTTTCCTCATCTTCGTCAATCCATTTGTCCCAATCAACTTTCACAAACACAGGAGGTTTCCCTTCTTGCTTCAACAACCTGCTCCACCACTTCTCTTCAGCCTTTTCTATCAAGTACCGAATGTTTCTCATGCCAACATTAGCCTTGCTCTCCTGCAATTATTGTGTTTCAACGGTTAGTGCCTTAGCTTTTAAAAGGAAAACTAAAATGAAGAGTGAAAGGCAAAAAGTTAATGAGATTATACATTTATGACAACTTTATCATAGAGATCAATGTCAACTTCATATGGTATCTTCTCTGCTCCACTGATTGCAGAAAACAAAAATTTCCCTTCAGGCTCCAACTTAAGCTTCACATCCTGGGCATCTGGCAGGTCAATTGTTACGAATAGCTTGTCTGATCTTTGTGCCCATCTTAATGTAGGGTGTCGGCTGTAAGATAAATACACACAAAACTCAGATGGAATGACACTAATACATGGCACCAAAACTTATAATTAGAGATAATTAAGGTCCCGTTTAATAATGATTTTGTTTTTAGTTTTCTGTTTCAAAAAATTATGCTTGTTTTTTCACCATTTCTTCAGTATTTTTCTTTTTCACCTTTCTTCATAAGACATTTGAATTCTTAGCCGACTTTTAAAAACAAAAATAAATTTTTGAAATTTACTTTTTTTTTTTTCAAAAGTTGGCTTGGATTTTAAAAACGTTTTCAAAAAATTGATAACAAGACAAAGGCAAAGGGATACATGAGTAGAAAGAGTGCCACATGAGTGGAAAGAGTGGTTGTAAGCTTAATTTTCGAAAGCAGAAAATCATAAACAAAATAGTTATCAAACAAGACTTAAAAACTTCATTGTTATAGAAAGAATGTACAGTGTAGCATTTGCATGACTTAGAAAATCATAAACAAAATAGTTATCAAATAAGACTTAAAAACTTCATTGTTATAGAAAGAATGTACAGTGTAGCATTTGCATGACTTAGAAAATCATAAACAAAATAGTTATCAAACAAGACTTAAAAACTTCATTATTATAGAAAGAATGTACAGTGTAGCATTTGCATGACTTAGAATTATCGTTCGAAGTTGAACGAAAACTTTTAGACTACCTGTGAACTTATAGCTAGGGATAACCATCATATTCAATAAATATGTTGAATACTTAGTAGTCAACATGCCATACAAAACATTAAAAAAATAATAATAATAATAAAAAGTGGGGAATATATTACCTCAATTTCTAACAGTTGAAGCAGGATTTACACTCTGAAATTCGGATAGCTAAAAGTAAAACTTCAAAAGAAAAAGAACAGGAATCGAGTTTGTATTGGGCACGATCCATTGTAATTTTCAAGAAGAAAAATATGCTTCCGTAATAAAGCGATTTACCGCCATTTTCACATTTCACCAACGCCTCAGAACTTCTTAAACATCGAGTATCAGTTTCGACGATGGAAAGTGAAATACTCAACCCGATCATCCAGCTTCTAGTTTCTTCATCATCGCATCGGAGTGAAACTCCATTTTCAAGTACAATCGTATATAAACATGCAGAAAACAATCACAATAACATACAACTCCAACAATTAACCCTAATTTCTCCATTCTTCTCGATTTCCATCGACTTCCGAATCGACCGGACAGATACAAGAACTTACCACCTCAATTTAACTTGTAAACATCATCGATTCCTCGTCATTCTATTCGATATAGAACAAGCAACAAAGAGAATTGAAATAACGACTGTCCAATTAATTACCTCATCTTCGGAACTCGATGAACGGAATCGCGAACACAGGCTGCACAGCTCCGCCGCTTCGGATTTGCTTGATAATTTAATCGCTTCGGAAGGAGAGAGATGGAGCGAGGGAAACAAAGCCATGGGATAAAAACAATGGGATGGCGGTTCGCCGAAGTGAAGGATAAATGCAAATTTTGCAAACGGTTTTTTTTTAATATTATAATGAAATTATAGTAAATTTGATTTTTTTAGTTCAATGGGTTGGAGATTTCAACTTTTAGACTTTTAATTCGGTAGAATATATGTCTTAATCAATTGAGTTATATAATTTATATTCAAATTGACGTAATTTTTTATATTTTAGTTTATATTACGCTTTTAAAACTAATCTTATTTGTACAAATAATATATGCAGTTAAGGTAAATGCAATTTCTATTTCGATAATTTTGGATCATCAATATTTTTGGGCATGACTATCGTTTTTATGTTATTCCAAGTCAAGGTAAATGTAGGTAGCAATAAGGACGGTGCATCGCCTATTTTTCGTTCTTGTTCGGGAACCAACACGAAAATACATGCTACCTACTTGGACCTTTAACCAGGTATGTCGAATCGAAACCAACCACCCCACTTTGATAATAGGAGAAAGGAAAATGTTAGAACAATTGAATCGTCGTTGAGAATTTTACCCTAAGAATTTCAAGTGAGATTTAAGAGATATCGGGACTGAAAATCTGTTGAAAGTCATGAATCTCTTAAAGCACTTATAAGTATATTTAGAGAGCATATGATTGATTTTATTTTATTTCAAGTGTTGATATGACAAGTACTTCACTTAAAAATGTTAAAAGTGTTTTTTTTAACATGTAATATTTTGTTAAAAACTTTGTATTTCTAACTTATTAAAACCACTAAAAAATTTTCTCAATGATTTTTTTAGTTCAACATGCCTGAAGAATAATCAAACATCCGAATCTTTTGTGCGTTAACTATTTGAGCGACACCAAGTCCGCAATATTCAAAATAGTTCAAGACGAGGTAAAAACAAATTGAAAAAACACTTAAAATACTTTTCCAACATTTAATTAAGTTTCTTTTCAAAGTATTTATAAAATAAATATTTAATTTTATAATAAAGTTAAAATACTGTTTTTGTCACTGTACTTTACGCTTTTATTTATTTTTGTCCCTGTAGTTTCAAAATATTTGGTTATTGTATTTTCAACTCTAGTTCATTTTTGTCGTGTTCATTATTGAATATATTTTATTCAATAGATATATTAAATGTAGTGTCATGTTAAAATTGTGGTGGAAAAATGAGATAAAAAATAAAATTAAGATACCGAAATCATAATTTTTCAAAACTACTTAACTAAAGTTGAAAGTAGAAAAAATAATAGAAAATTTAACCTGAACCAAAACTCAACGACCAAAGTAAACCTTAAAATATAAATTGGCGAAATTGAAGATTGCACTGTGGAAATTGATTTAAACAAAAATGGAAAATTGAAAGTTCAAAACCAAAAGGTTGAAGCCAGCCCGCCCTTTATTGCGCAGAGACCGCGAGCGAGTCTCCATGGAATGGCCTACTTCGACCTTCTCTTACAGAAATGTTCTTCCTTCTCGCAAATCAAGCAACTTCAAGCAAATCTCATTACCAATGGCCGATTCCAATTATCTTCCTCTCGCACCAAGCTCCTCGAGCTCTGCGCCATCTCCCCCTTCGGCGATCTTCCCCATGCTATCCGTATTTTCCGCCATATCCGCGCCCCTCCCACCAACGATTGGAACGCCGTCATTCGCGGCACCGCCCTGAGCTCCGATCCCGCAAATGCTGTTCTCTGGTACAGGGCCATGGCTGCCTCAATTGGGCCTCACCGAGTCGACGCTCTCACCTGCTCCTTTACTCTCAAAGCCTGTGCCCGCGCGCTGGCTCGTTCTGAAGCGATGCAATTGCATTCACAGCTTTTGCGATTCGGGTTCGATGCGGATATTCTCCTGCAAACTACATTGCTTGATGCGTATGCGAAAGTTGGGGATCTTGATCGTGCCCAGAAACTGTTCGACGAAATTCCGCAACCAGATATCGCCTCGTGGAACGCTTTGATTGCTGGGTTTGCTCAGGGGAGTCGACCGGGCGATGCTATAGCCTTGTTTAAGAGAATGAAGGAGGATGGATATTTGAGACCCAATGAAGTAACCGTTCAAGGTGCTCTGTTGGCGTGTTCGCAATTGGGTGCTCTGAAAGAAGGTGAGGAAGTTCATAAATATATAATAGAGGAGAATCTAGACATGAATGTTCAAGTTTGCAATGTCGTTATTGATATGTATGCTAAATGTGGATCTGTGGATAAAGCGTATTGGGTGTTTCAGAACATGAGGTGTGAGAAAAGTTTAATCTCATGGAATACAATGATAATGGCATTTGCAATTCATGGCCATGGATACAAAGCGCTGGATCTTTTTGAAAAATTGGGTCTATCTGGAATTTCCCCTGATGCAGTGTCATATCTAGTCGTGCTTTGCGCCTGCAACCATGGAGGGCTTGTAGAGGATGGGGTTAAGCTGTTCAATTCTATGGGGAAAAGGGGGTTGGCACCAAATATAAAGCATTATGGAAGTGTGGTTGATTTGTTGGGTCGAGCCGGGCGTCTGAAAGAAGCTTATGAAATTGTAAATTCAATGCCTTTCCCTAATATGGTACTTTGGCAGACTTTGCTTGGTGCTTGCAGGACTTATGGGAATGTAGAAATGGCAGAACTGGCATCAAGGAAGTTAGTAGAGATGGGATTTATTAGCTGTGGTGATTTTGTTTTGTTGTCGAATGTGTATGCGGCTTGTCAGAGATGGGATGATGTTGGGAGAATTAGGGACGCCATGAGAAGAAGGGATGTGAAGAAGACACCAGGATTTAGTTACACAGAAGTAAAAGGCAAGATGCACAAATTTGCATATGGTGATCAAAACCACTCGAGTTGCCATGAGATTTATGCAAAGCTTGATGAGATCAAGTTCAGGATCAAAGCCTGCGGGTATGCAGCTGAAACTGGCAATGTATTGCATGATATTGGAGAGGAGGACAAGGAGAACGCACTGTGTTATCACAGTGAGAAGCTCGCTGTGGCTTTTGGATTGATTTGTACGGAAGAGGGGACCCTAATTCAAGTGATTAAGAATTTGAGGATCTGTGTGGATTGTCATGTTGTGATTAAACTTATATCAAAGATTTATAATCGAGAAATTATTGTAAGGGACCGAACTCGATTTCACCGATTTAAAGAAGGTTTGTGTTCTTGCAAAGATTATTGGTGATATTTATTGGCTCAATACTTCTCAAAACGAGATGAAATCGTCTCGGAAAAACATCACATATCTTTGGTGTAGAATTACCGAGCTCTTCCATTGAGTCAAGATTTGGGAGGCAACAAAAGTTTTGAGTTACTAAATTCTCAACTTAAAGATTTGGACTCAAGACTTTGGATATCTCTCCCCAGTGAGATCTTTTCTGAACTGCCTTCTCTAATGTATCTCATCTCCAGGTCATATGTTCATTAGACTAACTAGTATAATGAATTTAATTATAATACAACCATTTCATGCTGCAATGTGCAGTTTCTGCCCTGGGCTTTAGCAGATCGTTAGACTTGCAGTGAATGTTCTTCAGAATGCTAGCAGGTAAGTCTTGTTCTATGTCTAATGTTTCCGAAGCACCGAACTTCTGGCTTGAAAAGAAATATAAATATAAATATATCCAGGCCTTGCAGGACTCTTCATGTTACTGCTCTACCACATTGATGATAGCAAAAGTGAAGGATTTGGAGAGGTGGGCAGTGTTTTCAGAAATGCAATTCCAATGCCAAGGATGAATCAATCATGGTAACATCACTTCAGCTTCATCAATCTACCTTTTTGTTGATTTTTGTGTTCGGTTCGGTTTATCGGTTCCATTCAGTGCTGATACCCCTAGTGAAATCTATTCAATGTAGATGTTTAGATAACAGAAATGGTGCAAATCGACAGAGGAAGAAGGCAGCTAAGAACAACAGAATATAGAACTTGGAACCGGGATCGATTTCCTTTGAAGATTCAGACAAAAAGTGGCAATGGACAACTACAATCTGCAGTGAATCTGGTAAATCCCTATCCTTTTCTTGGAGTTTGTAGCTTGACTGTGGTTTCTTCGAGCATATACTGGCTTTATAAAAATCCTGCTTGTCGTCAGAATGATTCTTCATCATTCCTATAAATCCTGCTTGTCGTCAGAATGATTCTTCATCATTCCTTGGTCTTTAAATTTGTCTTAGAACCTTTTTTTTTGTTCTGACTAGCAAGGGACCTATCTATATATACTGACCACCACCGTTAAAAATTTGACAACTTATTGTTTTATTTAAAAAAATTCTCTATTTTTACCTTTCTCTCTTAATTATCAAATATTTATAATGGTGAATACATATTTTATGATATTTTCGTAGTTTCGTCTAAATTTTTTACCGAAGGTTGATGAGAATCTATTGATTTTGCTAATTTAGGTGCAAATTAATTAAATTATAAGTGTCTCATCAGATTTTTGTTTCTTTTTTTAGTACTCATTTCTTGGTGTCTTATCAGATAAACATGTTTAGAATAGAGGAACCCTTTTTGGGCTGCGCAAATAACGCGCTTTGTTTGGAAAATTGACACTGGTTTATCTACTCCTTTTCTTTTTCTTTTCTATTTTTTTTTTAATTTTATAAAGGGTGATCTACTTGAGAACATTTTAATTTTCAGCTTTTTTTTAGGCAAAAGAAACTAATTCAAATTAAGAAAAAGAAACAGGTAGAAATTAGACAACCCCAAGTGGGAAAGCATTTCTCCCTCACGTGTTCTCATTGAAACTACAAAATAAAATAAATGTTAATCAATAAGTTTATTTTAAAAAAATTAAAAATTAAAAAAAAATACTATCTGTAAAATAAACTTTCTATTTTTGAATAAAGGAAACGATATATTAAAATAAAATGCACAAACTTAATATGTATTCTTAATATGTTATAATTTTGACTTTTTTAAATGTATTTTACATTACAAGTTTTACTTTGAATCTCACTTATGATATTTTTGTAAAATATTAAATTTTCTACTATATTTATTTTATAGTATGTTTGCCTCTTTTTTTAGTGATTAAATTGCAGAGACATTAAAAAGATATTAGATTCCATGGATTAACTTTTCCAAAACCTCCTATTTTATATCGCCCTCTTTTTTTGTGGTCCGGATTTAATGTATTATACACTAATTTATCGCTTCGGATTTTTATGTTTATTCTTCGTCACTTAATGGGCAATTATTTTGGTTAAAAGTAATAATCTAAGATTTTTTGACAAAAATAGAATTCTCTTTACCATTGGAAAGTTTACTAAGGTTAACATGAACATGACTCAGCAATAATTAGCACTTATTTCTCTCGTAGCTCCAATTTTTTGTAAAAAAAAAAGAACATACCTATTGAACTTTTAAATATATTTTGCTATAATTTTTTTCAGTAAAATAAATATAGTGATAGAGATTGAACGTTCAACCTCTAAAAAGTGAGTATCTTAATCGCTAAGTTTAAGTTGGTATTTTGCTTTAATTCTTGTACTTTTAAAATACTTTATTTCAACTTGAATCTCTTAATGTATTTTGTTTTCCTTGTTTTTTAAATACTCTATTCTAATTTCTATATTTTTTATTACAAAAGAATTGGTCTTTGTTAAATTTTTTAGTCTAGGTGACAATAGAAATGTGGGTTTTTTTAGCACACTACTGAAATTTAATAATAATGACTAAAATGCTGTCAAAAAATAAAATAAAATATTGACTAAAATGGATATGGATATAAAATTATTCAAATACACAGCAAATAAGTATGAAAGTCCAAGACTTAATTAAACTAATAAACAATATAAACATTAATAAATTTTATTTGTAAAATAATTAATTTGAAAATGGGATAGCTTTTTTTTTGGTCATTTGAAACATGGTGGCTGATACCGCCTTTGAACCTACTTCTGTTTCACAGTGAACCGATATAATCCTCTGCATCCGGGATCACGTGAAACCGAAACATCTGCCTCTAATCAAGCGGTGATCCGTGCTCCTTCCTCCATGAAGCCATCAGGATCCTTCCACCTCACCACTGATCCGTTCGTAATTAGTCCAACGTAAGCAGTTGACTCAGGCTCACCGGTCTTTGCCGCTAAAAAAGAAAAAGAAAAAGAAAAAAGGAAAAAGAGAATAATTAAATAATTAAAATAATAAAATAAATAATCTCACCCTCTGGTTCGAGGAAATTTCGGCGTTTTACTGTAATAATATAATAAGAAGCCCGCCACCACTGTCCGTTCGCTGCTCCATCCCATTACTTGTTTTGACCAAAAAACCATAATTCTATCTCTCTCTCTCGATCGTCGCCGGTAATCGGAATCTGCTGTTCTTTCGCAAGTTCAATTTCTATTATGTAGATTCTTTGAACTTCGGAACGAATTTCTTCAGCGTCGCTGTGGATTTTGTCCGGTAATTCCGAGTTTTGTTTTCTTCATTTTTGTGGTTAAGGTGAACGATTTGATGTCAACGGTGTCGTCGGGGATGGGATTCTGCGACGAGGGGGATTGGCCACCAGGGTTTCGGTTTCACCCGACGGATGAGGAGCTGGTTTTGTATTACTTGAAGTTCAAGATCTGTAGACGCAAGCTAAAGCTGGATATCATCCGCGATACCGATGTCTACAAGTGGGAACCCGAGGAATTGCCTGGTAAAGTTTCCTTCCCTTGCTTGATCTGGTCGATTGATGTTCTTGCGGTTTATCTTTGATTTGACCTTGTCCGACTGGTTCTGATAAAGTTTGTCATGGATTGATATATGTTAATTGTTTAGGATGGATGTTGGGATATTTGAGTGATTTGCCATTGAATTATATTTTCGTGTTTCGATGATTTTGCTTTGCTGGAAGTCAAAGATTTGTTCAGATGGCTACTCAAGTTTATCATCAATTTTCAATTGTATATTCCGATACATTTTTCCGATTTGGTTGGTTGTTGCCGAAGGCCACACATTTAAACTCTTGATTCGTAGTTGTAGGCTTGTAGCTATTTCTTGTTACTTTTTTTTTTTCATCATTTTCCATGTGAATCTTTTTTATCCACTTAGTCCTTATTACGGAAGGGAATCATGTACTTGGCGAAGACATAAGCCCCCTGGACCTCTCAATCAGGAATTTGATGAGTATATCCAATTCATCATCTATGTGATAAGTTGATAATAATAACTGATCGTGTATGATAGATTTTAGAGAGTTGGTCTCTATTTTCCGTGTAAATCTTTTTTATCTACTCATTCCTTACTACCCAAAGGGAATCATGTACTTGCCGAAGACATAAGCCCCCTGAACCTCCCAATCAGGAATTTGATGAGTAGAGCCAATTCATCATCTATGTGATAAGTTGATAGTGATAACTGATCGTGGATTATAATTTTTTTTTTTCAGAATTTTAGAGAGTTGGTCTCTCTCTTTCTGTAGATGTTAAGTCTTGCTCTATGCTTCTCTTATTTTCAGATATCAATGAATATTGATGGTTTTTCTAATCATTGAATGACTAAATGCAGGTCAATCTAAGTTAAAAACTGGTGATAGACAATGGTTCTTTTTCAGTCCTAGGGAACGAAGATATCCAAACGCAACAAGATTGAGTAGAGCTACCAGAAGTGGCTACTGGAAAGCAACTGGAAAGGATCGAATAATAAGGTGCAATTCACGTAATGTTGGAGTGAAGAAGACCCTAGTATTCTATGAAGGCCGTGCTCCCAATGGTGACCGCACTGACTGGGTCATGCATGAGTATACCTTGGATGAAGATGAACTCAAGAGGTGTAAGAATGTTAAGGTAACTGCGTGTTTATTATTTAAGCTTTTTCTAACTTAAAATTTTCTTGTGCGATTTTTTTTTTTTTAATTAATCTGGAGCCTTTATTGCAGGATTACTATGCGCTCTACAAACTTTATAAGAAAAGTGGACCGGGCCCTAAAAACGGTGAGCAATATGGGGCACCATTTAGAGAGGAAGATTGGGCTGATGACCTATGCCAAGGTTTTAATGTCTCTGATGTTCAGGAACCACAAGTTAATATAACAGATGAGGTTACTTCTGTAGCTCATCAAAAAGAGAATGGTCAAGCTCTGCTTTCGTCAGATGATATCGAGGAGTTCATGAAACAAATTGCAAATGATCCTGTGCTAGAGTTGCCGTCCGTCAATGATTATTGTCAATTTGACTCTGATCTGCAGGTTGGCTGCTCTGAAAGTTGCATTCCAATATTCTGTTTACATTACCATGTTAACTTTCCTTGGTGAATTATGAATAGACTGGTCATCAGTTTGATATCAAAATATAGCAGTAGGAATTGGGACATTGGAACATATGAACTGCATATCTTAACATCTAAGTTGTAATAAAAAATAATTTCTTTTGCCAATAATGGTTAAAAGCTTTATAAGTGATATTCTGGATAGTGGTTCAAGGAGAAACATCTGCTCTAACCTGACGTATATGCTGTATTTCATTGGTTATTTGGTCAGTGGGATGCTCTTACTAGATTATCCTTCTAAGTCATTCTTTTCTTTGTGTGCTTTATTTGTTCATTTTGTCGGGTAGCTTATGATTTGTGTACCTTCATTCTCTGTATAGGTTGATGAGGAAGAAGAAACTGTAAGTACTATGATCAATGTATACTCTCGGGATTGCGTAGCTCCTGAAGCAGATAAATTTCACTTAAGTGGCCGGCCAAGTGATTTGCATGGAAACTTCGAGTTTACCCAGTCAGGTATCTCTCAACTGCAATCATTTGAGGGCGAGGTATCATCAGCTCCCAGATATTCTGGGGCCTCCAATATACTACAAGAAGAAGATTTCTTGGAGATTGACGATCTCATTGATCCCGAACCAACTTCTATGTCAAACAACCACCCCTTGGAAAATGTGCCACCTTCACAGTTGGATGGATTGAGTGAGTTAGACCTGTTCCATGATGCAGATATGTTTCTTCGTGACTTGGGACCCATCATCCCAGAAACCGTTTTGGACCCATATTTAAATGCTGATGATATCACTTTGGTGAACAATTTAAATGGTCATTTGCAATCTGGTCCCTATGTCGAAAATCAGATGGAGAATCTGTTCTGGAAGAACAATGAGACAGAAAATGCCTTTGGCTTTCCAGAATTGCGTCAACAGTTTGATACTGAACCAACTTTAGGTATATAATTCAGTTCAAACTTGATATCTATGCCCTCTTTTATAAACCATCCGTAGTCTATTTTTACTGAGCGATCTCTTTCTGTTTGATTTTCACAAAGTCGCTGGCTCGATTAGCTCATCTGCACAGAGGTCTTGTTGAGATAAATGGGGTTTGTTTGTTAAGCCATACTATACTCCACATGGCAAGAACCCCTCTGTGAAATGTTGAGCCAGCTTCAACAGCTACCTAGAACGAGTATTCTTCTCGTGCATTAACGAATTCACTGATTCAAAAGGAGCTATTCTCCAATTATATTTGTCGACTTCATCATAAACTGCCATTTTTGTGCCAATCCCAGGTGCCATTTTATCAATGTGAGGCAGTAGGCAGTTGCTAATTCTGAAACTTTCTGGTCTTGTTTAGGTGTGGGATGTGAATCTGTAAGTTCTGCAGCAGCAGCCGCAGGAACTAGCGAAAACCAAAGAGCAAACGAAGGAGGCAGTTCTGCAAGTTGGTTCTCTTCCAATTTGTGGGCCTTCGTGGAGTCAATACCGACCACTCCCGCATCAGCTTCAGAGAATGTCAACCGTGCTTTCGAGCGCATGTCTAGTTTTAGCAGATTAAGACTAAATACCCTAAACACCAATGTCGCCGTACGTAATCCAGGTACGGGCGCAAGGCGAACGGGCATGAACAAGGGATTCTTTTTCTTTTCGATTCTTGGAGTACTGTGTGCTATTTTATGGGTGTTGATAGGAAATGTTAGATTGTGGGGAAGATGCATTGCCTCATGAACTATTTCACGAAAGTTTCTGCCAACTTCTTTTATACCTTTATTATATGCATATCTTGTAGTTCCAATATTCATGGAAGCTTCGACTTCTTGGAATCTGTATATTGGATGCAAAGTAATCCAGCCATGGCTGCTGATAGATGAGAGTTATAAATCTAGTAAATTATAGTAACGAGTTTGGATCTTACTTTATTTTCTATCATGAAATTTAATAGTGAGTGTGAAGAGTTGTCTTTTGATTAGTAAATAAAATAGTACCTATTATTTAGGTTAAATATATAATTTAACCTGTAATGATATGCATGAATTTAGCGACATGTTCGAGTTTCTTCATTATTGACTCGATAATCAATTTCGAAATGCCAAATTTGAATATCCTCCATCCTAATTGGTTATCTAAATATCAAATTGAAGAAAAAAAAAAGGCAACAAATGTACTCATTTTTCTCTATCTTATTTGGCCAGCTCATCCATTTTCACATTTAGCTTTCAATTTTATCAAAAACCTTAAATTTATGTAAGTGTTGGAAAATTTATATAAGTGCAGCAATGTTTACCTTTTATCAAATTTCAGTTAATTTGCTTACTGATTCTATGTATAACTCTAAATACTCGATAATTTAATTAAAATCAAGCATAAATTAAGTTTGATTCATACACAACTTTGTTAGAACTTATCAGTTTTAACAAAATAAATAGCTATAGTATCAGTTTTATCTAAATCTCATCAAATTCATACCAATTATAAATTTTATAATTTATTTGACATATCTATAGTATTTTTTTTTCTGTTAATGTTTCAATTGAAAACTTATCAAAGAGTATAAAATTACAAATTTGGGGTGAAAATTGTTAAAATTGATTTTTTCTTTTTATTTTTTCAGTTCCCACTCCCCTATTAAATATATATAGTTTAATTTCGTCGCTAATATACATACACATATTTTTTATTTTTTGAATTAACTTTAATAAAGATATTAAAGAGAAAATCCGGCCGATTTGTTCTAATTATAAAACTAGAAACGAAGAAATATTAACACTTACAGAAAGAGGGGCGACCTCTGGAATTAAATCTGGAACAGGATCTTCTCGGAGCGCTTCCTTCTTCCTCGCCGTCGCCGTGTTTTGTTCGTAATCTTCAAACTCTCGTTCGATTTCTCCACAAATCTTTGTTTCTCGAGCACGAACCGCCGCTCAGTTACGAACTCAATTGATCTGCGTTCAATCTGCGGAGCTTCTGTGCAGTTAGACCTACACAGCATTAGTTGTAGGAGGATAAGTTAAAAGTATGCTGAGGAGGAAGAAGATGAAGCACTGCTTCACCTTCTTCTTCTTCTTCTGTTGATTCATGGCCTCCTCTCAGCACCGCTGTGTTTTCGGTACGTTGCCAATTTGATTGTCTGTTTTTGCTCTTTCATTGATGGGGAACTGTTGGTTGGTATTGGGGAAAGGCGGATTTGAGTAGTGCATCTTGTCAAATCTTCAGTGTTGCTTCTTATTTCATTTTATTTTAGTTTTAATTGTGTGGGGCTTTCTTAATCTTGGCGCGGAAGCTTGGAATTTTCTGGTGATTTGATTGCTCGTGGTTTTTCGCGTCTTAATTTCTTGTTGAATTTTGATTTCAGTTGGCAATATACCATACGATGCTACTGAAGAGCAGCTAATAGAAATCTGCCAAGAAGTTGGGCCCGTAGTGTCTTTCAGGTCCGTGTTCTCTGCTCTTTTCTTTTTGGGGAACTGAACCCTAAAATTTCTATTGGGTTGAAATTTGGGATCTAGAATGAGATTGGGAGCTTTGAAATCGTAAAGTTGGATTTTTTTCCCCATTTCAAAGTTTATTGGTCTTACCACGTAGAGAATAGTTACCTAAACATCTCCTTGAACTTTATGTAGTTTTCTTTCTTTTATTCTCTTACCTTCATCATTTTCTCCTCTGCGGCCTGCGCATGGATTTTGTATCTCTGCTTCGCTTTTAAGACTTGTTATGGGGGTTTACTTCTGTCCTTCTGTCATTCTGCATTTGAGACAGACACAGTGGCTATCCCATGCTATAATAGAATTATTCTTTTTTTCTAGTTTTTTTCAGTAGCCAACCCTGTTATGGTAGCCAAGGGTTGAGATTTCATTTCTTAATGGCTTTCTTTAGGTCAGTTACCCAAGATGACAATGTTTTATCAAATAAGTGATATACTCTAATTAAAACTATGACATGCCCGAGTATTTGTTTTTGTCTGATCTAATTCGAATTATAATCATATTATCAGAATGCATGATCGAGGGGGTGGTGTGGAGTGACAGGGTACTTGATTGAAGTTCTAGTGTTTATACTGCTCTTATTACATCACAGATATACAGCCTTTTTATTTAACAAATGTAACTCATTTTTTGGTTCTGTCATGGTATAGTGGGCATGATAATGGGGTCTTTCTCTGATCTGTAAAAATTGAACTAATGTACTACTTTTGGAATTTGAGCACAGTATTGGAAGCTGTAACTTTTAACTAATTGTAAGGCATGAATCTTGATAATTATTATAATCTAAGTCTCTTGTCCTAAGAAAAGAAGGAAAAAAAACTAAGTGCAGGACATCAATTATGAAAATCATAATATCCTGAGTCTCCCATCCAAAAATAATTTGAATGTCATATTGATTTATCATTTCCATCTATTGTTTACCAGTATATTTTAATGTTAAAATTAACAGTTCCATCCTATTTTTAGATTAGTTATCGACAGAGAAACTGGAAAACCGAAAGGCTACGGGTTTTGTGAGTACAAGGATGAAGAAACAGCTTTGAGTGCTCGTCGTAATCTTCAAGGTTATGAAATTAATGGTCGGCAGTTAAGAGTTGATTTTGCTGAGAATGACAAGGGTTCGGACAGAAATAGAGAACAGGTGAAGGATTTAAACTCTTGCAATTTGTCAATTTGACTCTTTGAATATTCTTGTCCATCCAGCTAGTTAGTAGTTACATTGGGTTTTTGGTATAATTCTCAATGAAATACTTTAAAATATTCTCGACGGAATAGTATGAAATTCTAGATTACAATGCAGCCAATATTTTCAAGGAAGATCCTGTAAATATTATATAGATTTAATTTTTGAAAACCTTGGAGGCTGTTTTCATTACTCTGCTCAAGAGTAATTTTCAACCAGTAGTTTAAAAAGACAGGTTCTAAGGAAGCTTTTTTGCAGTCTTTACTCTGGTATCAGTTCAAATGCATGTTCGATTGCTTCTATAGCCTTCTTAGGTGCCTGTAATAGATTTAAGAATTTGAATATTTTTTTTCTTTATAAAAAAAGACTGATATTGTCCTGACATTTATTCACAAGGATGAAAAAATTGGTGCTTGTGACGTTAATTATAGGATTTCTTGGGAATGTTGATAATGTCGTTCCAGGAGAAAGGAGAATAATTGTACTTCGAAACTAAAAGTTCTACATAACATTTCAATCTTATTTTAATAATGTTATTACAAAAAACATAAAGGCAAGTTGAGTAAGCAGTTCTTTGGAAAGGTTATGTTATTACTTATTAGTGATGAAAAAAACGGAAAGAATTAAGAGTTCAAGAAATCCTCTGAGTTGAAAACTGAAATTATAAAAGGTATCTCGAATGCATAAATGCAAATTAAATGTCCCAAAGATCAAATACACTGACTGATTATAAGTGAAATAACCCATCTTTAGCTGCATTTACCTTTTCTTCAGTTATCATTATGTTCCTCTCCAATCAAATGACTCAGAAAATTGCTAAAGCCATGAATTTGAGATTAAACATATTTTTTTAAAAATATAAACCCTCATTTTATGTGCCCTTCCACCAATATCCACTGAGTTCTGTAGCACGTTACTTGTTATTTTATTTGAAACATTTTTCCCACTTGCAGGGTCGTGGTGGACCTGGTTTGGTTGCAAATGCTGGTTAGTTTTCTATCTTAAATGTTTTCTTGGCATATAGTTTGGTTGCAAATGCTGGTTAGTTTTCTATTTTTTTCTGCAATTTTTGTGTAATTTCAAAGCTGCTCAAAAACAATTAGGCGGCCCAACAGCCCATGGGGAATCCAGTCAACATCAACCAATTGGTCTTCATATAGCAATAACTGCTGCAGCCGTCATGGCAGGAGCCCTTGGTGGTGCACAAACTGCTACTAATCAGAATATTTTGCAGAGTGCAGCAATGCCCAATGATCCTTTAACTTTACATCTGGCTAAACTTTCTAGGAGTCAGCTTACTGAAATTATGTCGGGGCTGAAGGTAACCTTTTGAGTATGTTCCCTTCTCTCTCCTAATTTTCCTGAATGGCTCCTAGTGATTGGTACATTGTTTGGACTTAGGTAATGGCTACACAAAACAAGGATCTGGCTCGTCAGCTATTGTTGGCAAGACCACAATTGGCAAAAGCTCTTTTCCAGGTACTTATGTACAGTTATCTTTGCTCTTTTGTAGTTTCTTCAAGCGTGGAGATCCTCCATAATATCATGTGTTTGTGACTTTTTTCTTTCTTCTTTAGAATATTACTTTTCTATCCATTACAAGTAAAGTTATTTTCTCAGCTCTGCATCCAATTCCAATATCTCTGCGTGAAAGAGATGTTGATAAGTTTTTGCCTTATGTTACTCTTATGATCTTTTGTCTGTGTGTGTCAACTTTCTAAACTTGTTTATGCAATCCGTTTCTTCCTACTATAGTATTTCTTTGGGTTAACATTAATGGTGAAAAAATCTATTTGGTGCTCTTCATGCTAGTTATTTTTTCGTTTGGCCTGTCATCCTTATATATGATATTGAGAATGTAAGTATAAAAAACACACTCATATTTGTCACTTGCATTTAAGCTCCATAGGTTTATTGCACTTCAGGGTGCGTCACATTTTGATAAGTACAGGATCTAGTTGAATGGAAAACACACCATTATAGAACATTCCTGTCACATACCATTCTTTTAGCAGATGCTCATAACTAGAGGACTTAAATTAAGAAAATTTTGCAAGGACATAAGTGGATGAACCTGTCTTATGTGAAATTTCTAGAACACTGATATGAGAAATGTACACCCCAGAACCATTCTCATCAGGTTTAAGTTAAGCTACTCTTTGACCATTAGCTTTAACTTTTAGGCCTCAAAACCTCTTTAGGTCCTAATCTCTGAATCAATTTTTGTGTTCAATTGTTAGTAGATAACTAATTTAGAGAGAGAGAAATAGGGAAAGAAGACTTCAATAAATATTTGGGAAATAACTAAGAAGAGTCCTGCAATATGTTTATATTTTTAGTTTCACCCGATTTCTTTGACAAGAGTCTGTCTTTCTTGTTCCTCCCAATTTAATGGACTATACCTCTCCCTGTATGCAACACCAGCTAAACATCTTATTTTTCCCCTTTTCTCTAATTGTGTCTGCAGTCACAGATAATGCTTGGAATGGTCACACCACAAGTGGTATTTCTCTTCACTGGCTAGATTCTTTTTTCCCGGTGTTCTATCGATAGCTGTTAAATTTCTCACGAAAAATTCCCATTCTCTGATTGTTGCAGTTGCAGAAGCCTAATTTACGGCAACCTTCTACTCATCCTCAGCTTCCTTCGCAAGACATTCAGCAGGGTCAGCCATCATCTCTTCAAATTCAACCAGGGCTGCCCCCTCTTGCACCTAACAGGATGCAGACTGGTTTTGTACCTAAAGTTAAAGAAACTCAAATATCTCTCCCGCCTCAAAATCCTTTGGCACATCAGTTTTCTGCATCCCAACGGCCTCCACTCCAGTCTCAAATTCAGCTATCACATGCTCTACAAGGCACTTTGACTGGGATGCCTGGAACCTCATCACTTCCTTCCATAAATTTGCAGGGAAATTTACCTGTTAGGCAACAGGTTCAGGTGCCCACCTCCTCTTCTTTAAAGCAGCACATGCGTCCCCCTTCTCAACAATATTCAGGGCATGGTGGAGCTGTAATTCCAGCGCATAATGCTCAGATTGCTAATCCAGAAGCTAGACCTTCTCTTTTGCCTCACCCTTCCTTGTCAGATGCAGACTTTCAGGTTTGATGTTATGCTATTGTTTTTTTTTTTTTTAAATAATTATTACATATATAATTTAAAATATAAATGACTCAGAATGAGAATATAGGTGTCACCTTGGCAAAAAATTACCATTTTTTACTTGGAAATCAGGTAGGTTCAGTATAGCAAAAGACTAGTAGTACTGCTTCCCATCCAAGAAGTTTACCGTACATGTAATGATAAGTTGATTTTAACTGAGCAGGTGGCCAAGGTGGAGGGAAAACAGTAATGCAACTAACTTTTAAGTTTATGTTTTGCTGGCTGATAGTAGTATAGTAGAAGTGTTCTTATTTTTTTTCTTCTTTTTATTTTGTTTATGAATGCACTTAGGGAGAACTCTTTATGATCAACAAATATGACTTCGCTTTTGAATAATTGTAATCTTGTAGTGTATGGTTATATGCATACTTTTGCGTTTCTCGCTCCCCTCGGAAATCTGATGTTATTTATTCTTTGTGGTGATGTCTTCTTGTTTCTGACTTGCTCTCGGTAACAGCCCGGCCCCTCCACAGCTTACAGTGCATCTCAGATAGTGGGCAGTGATGTTGATAAACCTTCTCGAGGTCCTCTTGGTGTAGATGGTAAAAAAACTAGCTTTTCAGGAACAATCAATCGCCCTGTAAAGCAGATGAGACTAGAGGATGGGAAAGGCAGCTCTTTCTCAGCTGGAGGCCTGAGTGCATCAGTAGATACCAACGGATCTGGACAACTTGGAGTTGCTTCAGATCCCCGTTTGGCGCCAAACTCTGAGAAACCAACTGCGATGGTATGTGATTTATTGCATTATCAATAATTGAAAAATGTGTGCTCACTCGTGTTCATGTGGTTGCACCGTGGCGCCAATTTCCAATCTGAGCATCGAGCCATGAAAAAAAAGTAGAAAGGTTTTTAGGAGCACGCTCAAATTCTACGAGTCACCTATCTAGAATATAAAAATCGTACGTATTTTCTGACGATTAAATGTTTTAGGGTTAGGTTAGTCTAGACACCCACGTATGTTAAAGAAAAAAATCAAGATAAATTTGTTCTTTCAAGTACTCCTATTACATTTGATCGGCAAGAAAATTCGTCGACTCTTAGGTAGGTTATAAAATTGTTACTGTTGTTAGATATGTGTTAACGTGTTGTTAGTAAGTTGTATCACCATTGGCAAGATTTGGGCGTATTTGAAATTTAACATTCTGGTGAAGTTCATTCCAATTTCTTCTGAATCACAACTGAAGAAACTAGCATTTCTGTTTCTTGTTTTCTTGTACCTTCTTCCTCCACAGCTTCCTCGCGACGTCGAGTCTGCACTACTGCAACAAGTTTTGAATCTAACTCCCGAACAGCTTAACTCATTGCCACTCGAACAAAGACAGCAAGTTATTCAACTCCAGCAAGCACTTCGCAGAGATCAAATTCGGCCATCCTAGAAAGAGGATTGCAGCTGATCAATGCTCTGCTCAGCTCCGCTCCGGGCAACCGATGCTGGCAGGTACCAGATTCAGCTTTAGTAGATTGTAAATTATTCGGGTCCAGAAAGATTCAGCGACAGTTTAAACACCTGTAAAATTATTGCTTACCGGACGGGTCGAAGGCAACGGGTCCTGCCAACCCATATGAGCTTCTTCATAACAACAACATTCATGTAAGGTTTACAAGTTTGTGATTTATAGTGATAATGCCTGAATAATATCAAATGAAGAAAGGGGGGAAAATCCAACGGTGGAGGAATTTTGATTTTTTAGGATCTCTCTTTTTGGCCGCTAGATTTTCGATTATATTTTTTGCAACTTTTGCACCAATTTCCTTACTGCACGTTCTTATCGTCGTTTTCAGATCCTCGAGCTGTCGCTTTA